CATGCAAAAAAAATAAGAAATCAGGAAGGGGGCCAACACTTTTTCACACCACTGTAGTATAAATAGAATCTATAGCTATTTGCACTGTGTAAATAGCATATCGCTAAAAAAATACTGCTATTTTCACTTAGTGTGAATAGAATCCATTGCTATTTTCACTTAGTGTAAATAGCGTCTATCGCTATTTACACTTTTGGCGCTTTTCCACTGCATGGTACGACTCGGTACAGTTCACTTTTGGGGGGTTTTCCCACTGGGTACAGTACCTGGTACCTGGTACTTTTTTTAGTACCACCTCGGTTGAGGTTCCAAGTGAACCGTACCGTTACCAAAACGTGACGTGTAAACTCTGCTGATCACGGATTGGCCGGAGAGAAATTAGTAGTATATTAGTTAAATTTTGTTATTTGTAAATTTCAGTTTTATTTTTAGTTATTTTAGTACATCAAGTTAATCTAAATGAAAGTGAGAAATGTTACCTTGGAGACTATAATAAAATAAGGTTTGAGTTTATTATTACGGAGTGTCTATTTACACTAAGTGCAAATAGCCCGCCTTGTTGGCAGAGGCTATTTACACTAATTTCGCCCACCAACGTGTGATTGAACTAGTCAAAAGTGCAAAAGACGGCTGCTAGATGTCAGCTTCAGTGGCATAGATGGTGTGTCATAGTTTTTTTGACATGATCAACCCAAGTTCGAACCCAAGTTCAACTTTTTCTCTTCCATTTTTAAATTTCATATCACATCGGAAAGGCATGTATTTTTAATAAAAATTAAGGAAATAATCAAAAAGTTGAAGAAAAAAAAGTATCGGGTAGGGTTAGGGTAGGCCTAGGAAGGGCTTATTGTCCCAATAATGTGGCATCCATTTAATAATTTGAATTAAAATGATAATTTACACTCAATACGTTATTATTGCATACTGTTTTATAATGTACTATATTAACATGCTGGAGGATTTGCTGCTCAACAGATCCTGAGCTCATTAACAAATATCTGATCTTTTACACAGAGCTCGCGTGATCGCGAAATCGAAAGTGAAAGTGAACAGCGAGCGCCCATTCAAAAGAGATTTAAATACTCTGCATATTGATAGCGGATCCCTGATGCGTGAAAATTAAATGCAATGTTAGAATGTTTGCTGGAGCACTGGACACAAAAATCACGGGAGCGGGCGATAATGGTCAGAAATTCAGTGGGAGCAAGATTAAGAAAACCGCTTATACAAAACCGCACACAATGAATGGCGACTGTAGAAAGCAAAAGCCGAATCCCGGACATTTTGGGCGATTTAGAAATCCCGGCCGGAAGCATTATTTTAAGGTCCAAAAAGAGGACGTATGGTCACCCTACTCTACAGTACACCATGAGTGTGTAACTCACACACCACTCAACTTTATGCTCTGAAATGTGTCATTCAGTGTGTTAACTGGTTGCATTCCCAGCGTTGCCACAAGAGCAGCTATAGTGGGTATTAGCATTAACCGTCAACATTTTAAAACCTGACAATGGCATTCGAAGGTAACTATTGCCTCCTTGAGGTTTATTACAACCACAGCAAGCATTTGCACACTTGTTTAGAGTCTGTTTTCCGTCCCTTACTTGTGTTCTGAGAGCCTAGCTGAAAGCGATCCCAACAATAATCACTTTATTTCCCCCTCAGCCATCATTGTGGAGAATTTCTCTTTGTTCTACTCCACCGAGGAGGACCAGTTGCTAAGCTACAACGACCTGCGTCACTTCCAGATCATTTGGAACATGGTGGATGACAAGCGGGAGGTGAGGAGGAGGAGGGGACGTGCCTGTGATCAGCGGCTGTCAGCGGGGATGATTTTGAGTTAATACCCGCGTGTGCTCTTCGCACCGGCTCTGAAGCCACAAATGAATGAATCACACGCATCGGCATTCTCACCTCCAGAGTAATTGGAGGTTATTACTGCCTGTCACAGATAGCGAGAGGTGTTGAGCTGTCATCTTCATTAGGTGGAAACAGCCTTATTGAGAGCAGCAGAGAGAAGTGCGTGCAGATTTGACCTCCTCCCGTAGGATCAGTAATATCTGCTCGTGTATATTTGAGTTAAATGAGGCACACCAGTCATTTTCTGGCCTTAATTAATCAACCAGCGGTGCTGGGATCAGCTAGAAACACTTGAGGCCATAAGACTGTAACAGCTGAGCACAGGAAGGACTTTGTGCCTAATTAGACACATGAGCTCTGCTCCAAAATCTAGTGAGCTTCCTTGATGCCTGCTAGCCTTCTAAGACAGCACAAACCTCACAAAGCTGATTTAGAACACTCTACATAGGCAACAACAACAACTTTTCACCAGAGTTTTCATTTCATTTTTAATTTTCATCAGTAAAATAAGTAATAGTAAAATAGTAAAGTTCTTCGGCAATGAACCACCTCTTGATATTTCAGCCAAAAAAAAATTACATATTGCTACTCCAGGATCATTTTTGGTCACTCTGAAACTGACATATTCACCTGTTTTAGCTTATCCAGGTTATGTGCACAAAATAGTCTTTATCAAAATTTTCCAATTAATTCCTGTATATTTAATGCTAATATATAATTTTTTTTTGACTTCTTCACCATTCATAGTTTATCAGATTTCATTCTAGGATTGCCTGCTCTGCCAAGGATAAAATATGATGCTTCCTTAGAATTTAATAAAAAGAATGGGCCTTAAAATGCCCTCTAGGTAGGCAGCTCACTAGCTATAGTACAGTGATAGTCTGAGAATTTTCTTAAATAACCCTTTTGCCATTATATATACCAGTATTTATTTACTAAAGTTTTTTGAAAACAGGGAGTGATACCGACCTCTCGGGTGAAGTTTCTGCTCCGTCTGCTGAGAGGTCGTCTGGAAGTTGACCTGGACAAAGACAAGCTTCTCTTCAAACACATGTGTTATGAGATGGAGCGTCTGCACAACGGAGGAGATGTCACCTTCCATGATGTACTGAGGTTAGTAAGGACCATTAGTATTCATTACAGCACACTAACAAACATGCATATCACGACAAATCAAAATGTCCTATTTTGATATAGAAGAGTTACTATCAAAACTCAAATTTTCCCCATTCTAAAAAGAACAAACCCTGAAAGGGCCAATCCATCGCTAGTGTTGTTCATATTGGCCACTAAGCGTGTTCAGCAGCTTATAGGAAGTCATTGATGGTGTATGTTTCAGCATGCTGTCGTACCGCTCAGTTGATATCCGGAAGAGTCTTCAGCTAGAGGAGCTGTTGGCGCGAGAGCAGCTTGAATACACTATAGAGGAGGAGGTGGCCAAACAAACCATCCGCATGTGGTTAAAGAAGTGCCTCAAACGCATACGAGCCGTGAGTTCACACAAACACACTCCTGACACTTCACTGATATTTACCCCAATAAACTGAAAACAGATCAGCTGTTTGACAGTGACTATATTTACACTACATCTCAACATGGCCCAAATCTGATGTCACTTTAATATGTGGAAATAAATTCATATTGTACATTTTTGTTTTTCTTTTTGGCTGTGGGTCTTGAACAGTCATGTGGGAATTTATGCAATTTGTCAGTCTAACTTGACAATGTGACATTAACTTCCTGTCTGAGTTTTTTATTTGTATATTTTTTCTGCTAAATCAAATATACAGATGAAAACATTTTGTATTCTGTAATATTTTTCCTATATTTTCATAAGTCAATTTTATGATTTGTTTATATACTACACTTTTTTTCTTTTTCTTTTTTTTACATTTTTATCACAGAATAAGGCAGAAAATATATTGTTTAGTTTCTATAGGCTACTGTAATAAATGCTATGTCAGTTAGCACTGCATCATTCAGATACTTTATTTATTACCTGGAAATGACTTGAAAAACACACATAAACCATATATAAACCAAGTATTAATGAAACATACACTGCATGAGAGAGTTTAGCGCTCCGTAATGTTCACATCTCCTAATTTCAGATACAAATAAAACACCAGGTCATGCATAGACTTTTTAAAGTTAAATTTACATGTATATTTAGTTTTTTTTTTCCGCTGGAGCACCACCCGAGTCTTCCCCTCCCATTTCGCTTGATTCCCACATCTGCTACCTGCGCAGATATCAACAGTGCAACTGGGTTTTAGGTTGCCAGGTTGAGGTCACAAATGAGTTGAAATTTTTATGATGTATCGATTGTGTGAGTAGGATGCTTTTCACACAAGATCTGGCAACTGGACAACCTTGGGATAATATATTAATGTGATCATTCATATAGCGAGGTTTGGGCCACGCAAATTACGGGAGTTTCGTGGGAGAAATAGCAAAACGGGAGGGGTGCGGGAGATGGGTGTGAAATACGGGAGACTCCCGGGAAAAATGGGAGTGTTGACAGGTATGCTGATATAACTGCTGATATTCAGTTGAGTTGCTTTTATTCTCATTGTTCAATAGAATTAGTCCCGTATCAGCATAGTGGCTGGTATTAGACATGCAGGATGAGCCGAATGAAAACACTGACACCACCTTCCTCCTTCAGAAGCAGCAGCAGTCATGTAGCATCATTCTCAGTCTGAGAGAGAGCCAACAGCAGGACCTCCAGCGCCTGCTCAACCCTCCCAGCATTGAGACCACCGTCCCCAGCGAGGACACCAACGCCCATAACCAAGACAATCCCACTCAGCCAGAGGTAACCCTACCAGTGTCTGTTCTTCAGAGACTATGTGTGTCTCTGAGTCTTCATTCTAATGAAATGATGTGAAATGATTGACCCAGCAGAACAGCGGCCTGCAGACCTTACTGAGCCCCACCCTGTCGGACCGCAGCAGATATCGACAGGACTCCGCCGACCGACCCCAGAGGAAGCTGGGACAGTGGCGACTTCCTGCAGGTCAACACCAAACACACTATTAAACATGCTCTTACATTTACAAAAGTATTGCTTTTGTAAAATGAGGTATATAGCAACATAAGTCATGCTAAGTGTTGCTAAAGGATGTTAGCATAATAATTATACTATACTTTCTTCCCATGTTTCTTTGAATGGTTTTGAAAAAGAACAAAGGCTTGTTTATTGTTTGTTTTTCCACATATTTAGTATTCTGCACATTGACTTGTTTGCGTGGCTGGTTAACCCATGACTCACATCGCAGTCTTTTGTTTGCCCTGCAGGGCGCACGGGTGTGAAGTCCATGGTGTGTAAGATGAACCCTGTGAGTGATGAGGCCTCCTCGGGGTCTGAAGTCAAGAAGTGGTGGACTCGCCAACTGACAATGGAAAGTGATCAAAGCGGCGATGACCTCATTGATAGCTGAAGCAAAACGGCCTGCTAATTTTTTTCAGATTTTCCTCTTAAGAAAGGATCATTCGGCTAAATCTTTTGTATTGGCTTCTTATATGGCATAAGCCATGATCCTCTGTTAGCTTTACGTTGGGGAGTCTATGCTGCTTAAAGCATCACCTGCACACGTTCAAGCCTCCTTTTGCTTATTCAAAGACAATAAATGTCGGTTTCAACCATGTTAATGCTCACCCTACTGTGGTGGAAGATTTTCAGTGAGCATTGTTTTGTCAATGAGAAATATCTTTGATGAAAGAGCAGCTGTAAAGTGTCCTCAGGAAGTTTATGTAATGTAATATAAGAGTCTAATAATCTGAATTCTAGATGTAATGGTTAGGGAATTCACATGCTTTACGTGACGCACCTAACCAAAGCCATAGCGTTCTCCTTGTTTGTCTTTTGTGCCACAATAATATGTCTTCAATACATGGGTGTTTGTAAGATCCACAATTATCTTGTGTTGTAAAACTGGGCTTACACTTTATAAAATGCAACCACTTGCTTACATTATGGCAAGACAGTGAATGTAACTGTATTGTGTGTCTACGCGACACATTTTCCAGATGCTTAATTATTATAATAAAGCTACATATGTAAGTTATAAGATTAATTTAAATAATATATTGAAATAATGTACTTAATATATTTTGTAAAAATGAAAATTGCAGCAGTTTATTGTGTGCTTTTAAATTAAAAGTGTCTGTGATACTACCAGAAGTGGTTGTATTGTATATTTTAAGCATTTTTACCTAGGTTAATCGTCAGGAAGATCTGAAAAGAACTATGCACATATAAAGAATAATTACTGGAAGAACAAAGTTAATTATTTACGACAGCTGCAGTGTCCATGTATATTTGATTAAGAGAGTTCAGACATAAACCTACAGGGACAACAGACAAACAGCAGAAGAATGAAGGTTTAGACATGCATCTAAAGAGAGCTCAGAGGTAGTTTTTGCATGCTACTGACAGCACATATAGCATGATGCAAAAGAGAAGACAGCCATTAGAGGTTCAAAGAGTCTATGTCCACAGCTCGATGGGCATGATTCCCTCTTTAGATTGAAAGAAGGGAAAAGGTTCTCTTCAGACAGAAAGTACAAGGGAAATTGGACCAGAAAGCCTCGTATCTTCTTCAGTTCGGTGCAGGCCTGTGCTGGGTCTTCTTATAGCCATGCAAGGACGTGACATGTATTCTCTCAGAATCTTACAGTTTAGGACTGCTTCAGTGGGCAAACAGCTGAAGACCTGCACAGATAGTCAGTGATGGTGACTATTCCCAATTAAGCATATATATATATATAAATACCAGATCTGCAGCATATTTATCCTATATTGGACTGCAGAATCATTTCAATGACACAAAGGCAGAATCAGAGCACAAGTAAACAGACGGCTCCATTGACTGAGCCGGTTAATCACATTTCTAAGATCAGTGATAAAAGGAAGCTCTATTCTAAGAATGAATCTAGGGCTATTTAGAGAGTGCGGCGAGGAAGGTCAGTGCTGTGCTCTTTCGGTGGCTCTTACCTTTTCTGAGTGATTTATTTATCTTGTCATACACACTGGCGTTCTCGGCTACAGTCACCATCCAGACTTCCTTGTAGAAACGGTCACTGATGGGATCACTGATGTCTCCCAGCAAGCCAAGTACAAGTCTAAAAAAACAGATTGCTTTCACATTCAAAATAACACACTTTGTAATGTAATAGAGCAAAAAATAATGCATTTAGTCAATATTTAAACAGAAAATCAAAAGAAAAAAGAGACATTTAACAGATTTTTTTTAGGACAAAGATATATTTTATGCAGTGTATAATGCAGTACATCTGCATTATTGTCATAAGAATTAACTACACTTTCACAACAAAATTTAAATTTTCCAATAAAGCAAAAATTAGTGATATTTAAACTGATTTGATGAAAAAGTGTATTAAATATGCATGTTTTAACGGTATTTCGTTTAAAATTTGAATTTAGTGGCAATTTAGCTGCGTAATCATGAAGTAATGCCACAATGCCATAAAAAGTCATAAAGTAGGCTTAATTTGCTTAATGAAAAATGACTAAATGTACAATAATATGAAGAAATAAAGCCTATTTTATGACTTTTTTTTTCATTGTGGCAAAAATAGTCATAAAATAGGTTGTTTCATGAAAAATATGTCAAAATAGAACAGATTTGTGAGATTCACCCAATGAATATGAATGATGTATTTCACAGGACTGTAAAATCTCCCACTGCAAAGGGAAAACCTGTTGTCATGTAGCTCACCTGTAACAGGAAAGCAGACCTGAAGCACTCCTCCCGTAGAGACAGAGCAAAGCTGCCAGCCTGATAACTCTCTCCATCCATGACAGAGGGCTGGAATTCTGTGTCTTCAACAACCACAGCCATTTCACCGTCTCTCTTTCCCAGCATGCTCCTGTCATTGATGTTTGCAGAGCCTAAGCAGATCACAGATACCTATCAGACACTTTCCCTTTTCCTACTATCATGGTTAATGCCTTTGGGGAGCGTGTTCTGGGTCTGTATTGGGGTTTGACCTCTACTGAGAGCCTCAAGGACGTATCACTGAACAACACTGAGATTTCTCATTTTTCTTCTTCAAAGCCTATTCATAAGGATAAGAAGATAATTGGAATTGATAAAGACAAACAGGATTTGAGCGACGTTAATGGGATTTTAATAATGCATTTGTGATGATCGAGGAGACAGGCGTGACTTCGCTTTTCATAAACATCTGTTGATGTTTGATATTCTGCACGTCCGCGTTTAGGTGTTTTGTATGAGTGCAGTGCCACCTAGTGGCGACTAACAGCTTTACAGCTCGAAGATTTCAAACAACATAATGTGCTATTGCAAGATCATCGTGTGCACAAACCTAACACATAATAATAATAATTATTATAATTATATGTATTATGAGTATAATATAATAATAAGTTCTAAGTTTACAAGCAATGATTTACTATTATGGATTACCCATCCGTCCAGGGACTATATACAGGTCAATAATACTACTACTACTACTAATAATAGTTTTGTTGTTGTTGTTGTTTTTTTGTTTTTTTTAATCTCTTATACTTACCAAGGCTACCTTTGTATGGTCAAAAATGCAAAATTAATAATAATAATACCTTTTTTCTTATTTTTTTTTTTATAAATCTTGAAATGTAATTTATTCTTGTGATGGCAATGATGAATTTTTAATTTTTACTCCAGTCTTCAGTGTCACGAATCACGATTAATCAAAAATCATTCTAATACACTGATTTCATACTCAAGAAATCTTATTATTATCAATGATGATAATTAAGCAGTTTTTGGTGCTTAACCTTTCAAGACTGTGATATGCTACCATTCAAAAGGTAAGAGTCAATAAATATTTTTTAAATAAACAATAATTCAATTAATTCAGCAAGGATGCATTAAATAATAATCAAACTCCAAATCAAATATCAGAATGATTGCTGTAGGATCTTGTGACGCTAAAGACTAAAGCAATGGTTGCTTTGCCTTTACAGTATATATATATATATAAATAAAATATATATGCATATTACATTTAACACATGAAAATATTTACTTAGAATTTTATTTAAAATATTATTTTTTTATATTTTGTATATAAATATGTATTTATTATTATTAATTTTACATTTAAATATGCAGTATTTTTTTCTAAAGATGTCTTAGTAATTTTTATCCAGTAAAAAATCATATAGTCAACTACTAAACTGAATATCAAGCAGGACACCTCCACCTATGGTGCAGTTATTACACTGCTACTAATGCTTTCAAATGAAATGATAAAGAATAAAATCTCTGAAATTTCCAGAGAACGACCCAATTTTACTTCTCTATATATGTGTGGGCACAGTGTCTGACCAATAATGACAGTGCAGTCATCCACGATCATGAGCTTGCTGTGCACGTAAATGAGTTCAGTGACCAGGCGCCCATCCAGGTCAGCATGAGTGCGCAGACCGCAGAAACAGTTGTACTTGATCCAGCAATCTGCCACTGCAGACAAACACAAATACATACACACATACTTTCTTAATCCTTGTCCTATTATAGAGAATTACAATCATGCAATCCACATTTGATGGACACGATCTTAATGTTACGGCTACAGAGTAGGTTTATACTTCTACATACTAGTCTACTTACTCACACATTTGAGCCTCTCAATAATGGAGTGCTCCCCTCGGCACATTGTCCTGCAATGGAGAAAGAGGGCTTTCTTTTCATCTGCTTCTTGTCTTGCACCAATCATATGTCTTAAATCTTCTTCACCTGACCAATCACATCGCTCGCTGTACCCCAGTGACCACAGCACCCTCAGTGCTCCTCTTACTGTATCTAGCCTAGTGTTGAGGGTCCAAGCTGGGGCTGTAATGGTCTCTCTGTAGCCCGTGAGGAGCAGGGTCTGTTGTTTCCACATTACACATGTGTAATTTGCTGCAAGCGGCTGTTCAGGCTGCATTTTTACCCTTAATTGTGGCAATTTGGTGATTACCGAAGACGCATGTTTGCAGGGTTATTACCTGTAATTAAAGTGCATGATTCAACCCTCTACGCACACCTTGGCAATATAATCGCCATGCGCTCAGTCAGCGTGTTTATCGAGTGAAAATCTGTGTTGAACGCCTCTCACACACATACTGGCGTGTAAAATCTAATAATTTATTAGCCAATGGCTAATGTTAGACATTATTTAGTCGCCCAGAGTAAGATTTAGTCGCATATGCGAGTGATTTAGGCCTACTCGCAATGTAGAGGGTTGCTTTGATGGGTTAGGAGACAAAAGAGAGAAGGGAGAAAGCATGACTGAAAGAGAGATGCACAGTGAAAGTAAGACTACAGCCGTCTTTACCCTAGTGAAAAATAAACAGGCTCAAATGTATTTGAAATACATTTATGTCATGCTAAGTATACTACAAATACATTTACATATTTATGTACTTAATAAAATAACCTTGCAATTGTACTTTTAGTATACTAAACTAAAGTCTGCTAAATTGTAACAACTAATTTTGTACTTAATGGACTTTAATTGTGCGGAAGTAGAGCTGAAGTCCAACCAAAGATATACTGAAGTATATTTGATTGTGCTAAAGTGAAACTATTACAAGTACACTTTAAATATCTTGCATTTAAAGACTGATATTAATCAAAGATCATACAATCCTCATCAATAGTGACATTAAAACACATTTTAGGCTTAATATTCAGAAATGTGCATTGTGCACAAGTAGTTCTCCAAATAAACTTTAATTATAATTTTTATATCAGTAAGTCTTGAGCAATATGCCAGTAAATATGTTAAAAGATCTGAACTATACTTAGTATGAAATAAATGTATTTTAAATATATGACTTTTTTACTAGGGTAGACCGCAAATATGGCACAGGAAAATGCTGCGTTATGCAAAAACAAAACAGTGTTTGGGATCAGTTGTTTTTTTAAAACCCTTTTATTTTAGTTTTTACATATAATATGCATGATATTTTATATATTTACTTTGGG